CAAAACAACTGACACTAGACCGCTTTTTTAAACGTGTCGCAAATCCTTTTTTGCTTTTGTTATGACGTAAAATACAAACAAACAGCATTCTTTTCTTGTACATTAACCAAGCTCTACACATAATACAGTACGTATGTAATGTATAGTGCCTATCCCGCGTTTGCTAATCGAGAACTAGGACTCTCCGGTTATTGCTCCCGCCGATTATTAAGACCAATTTGGTCTGGGCCCGAGGTGGGCTTAATAGCCGGCGACTACTGTACCCACATTTCACCGTGATTTTCGTTGTCTCTGCCCTCCTTGGCTTTTCGGCGCATCACTTGCCGGCGGATTGTTGAGTCAAGCCTGTGAGCAACTCCCATTCTAAGATGTTTGAGATTTATCAACGGCTTTGGAGACCCTGTAGTGACCCAACTTCGCGTGCAAGGTTCAACCTCTCGCCTCCTGCAACTATTAGCATGCACGCACCAGTGTCTGCCGAACACGGTCAGGTCTGGCCAACCACCTTCCAAGCTGAATTACACAGGAGCTCACGGTGACGACTGCCAAGCTCTCACACTTCGGAGGCCGGCCTTTGCTGTTGTGGGCCGATTCCCGTTCAGCTGATAAATTTCTGCACCCTACTCTCTGCTAGCTCTTTGCATGGTTTATAAACACAGCGAGCACATAAACTCATTTTGGTGAACACTGACATGATCTCTGAGAGTCTACTATTCCTTCTAACTGGCGTCCTACTTCTTCTCTTCCCCACGGATCCGAGCCTAAAGATCGCAGCGGCAAGAGTATTCCCTATTGACTCAAGTCACTGCGATAACCCCTTTCATGTGCGGAATGCCCTGCCACGAAATCGACTGACTAAGCCCATGATTCCATTTCATTTTTTGCATTGACTTCGTTCAACGAATGCTAGCAGACAGAAGATGGTTTTGAAGAGTTCTCGGGGGAGCTTAACCCCACTCCATTTGACCAAGTCAAAATGATCGGAAGCGAAATCGGGCAAATAAGTCTAGCTTGACATGAACTTATGCTTTGGCGTGCCACCACATCCCCATGCCCTGAACTGGCACTGAACTGTTTTAGAGGGACACCTTACTCATATAGAGCATATGAGATGGCGAACACTAATTCTGCTGCACGACGAGTAAATATTTCGCATTATTACATTTTGATATTATTAGAAGGGAGAATTCTAAAATATGCAGTTTAAAAGAAAAACACTTTTCCTCACCTGCACTAATTCCCCAGTTACAAAAGAGACTCTTCTCGGGAAAGTTTGAGGCACTGATAATCTGGCCGATGATGTGAACCTCAGCCATAACAAGGAGAAATATGCAAATGGAAGTTGTCGACGTTAAAACATTAGCTGCAACAGAAAGGTAAGTCATAATGGGACATCCGTTTTATACTATGGATTCTGTTAGAGATGAAGTCAGCGAAACCTTATTGGGTCTTTTGATATAAAAGATTATGCGCTTTAAGCAGTAAGCAAAATAAGGTACACTTCCATTTTCTTAGATAAGAAACGGAACCGTTGAATTTTATAAAAATGATAAATCTTCAAGTAATGATGCTACAAAGTTACTTTTATGCAATAACGTCTTGAAGTGCGAACCATCCATTCGGAATGTATTGAAGAGTTTATGCGCGGTACACATCGCTAATATATTGACTGAAATATATAGGCTTATGTAAACAAAAATCGGATGAAAAACAAAAACCCACTGGCTACAGACCAACATTCTCTTGGAAATGCTTCTTGGGCTAGACATTATTTTTATTATCATCATCAGAAGGTTGTACTTGGCGGGTATTCTGGCGTTCCAAAGATATAATGTTTACATTTTGTCCACCAGCGATAATTGCGGCAGATTTCCTGTCATATTCACTTAAGAAGTAGCCCAAGCATTGACAAGCTTAGTTCAAGCTCAGAATGCCTACGAATTTGCCTAAACACTAGGCAATGAGAAAGGCGGTTTACACTAACGTACATCCAACATGAAAATGTAGGTGGTTGCAAGGGTACTTACATGAATTTCGTTCTCGAATCAGACCCCGACATAGAGAATATCCTTATAAAATAGTCAGAGGAAACGTGATGACTATTCACCCGCTATCCTAGGAGAACGTAGAATACATCTGATTCTCGTCAAAATATGTTCCGACATTAGTATAGTTATTAAGTAGTGTATTTAAAGCCAACCACAATTAGACATAATTGGCTAATTTTTTCTACCTACTAAAGGTCCGGACTACTAATTCCAGGTATGATGCAAGGAAAAGAACAACATTTATTGTGAAGAATTGTGCGTATTTCTTAAAAAAGACCAATAAATCACCGGCTGATATATTTCCTACATTAAATTTCTCTCTTACTTTGTGGTAAAATGTTGTTAAGTTACTGGATTTCAGTTCACTTAGAAATGAATGATTAAACGCAAGACCTAGCCGACTTTGGTCATTTTATGAAACGAGCTCCCTCATTCGCGAAAATCAACGGAAATGGTTTTGGAGAGGTTGGTATGTTGATCTTGAAGTACCAAGTTGGAACCTCCAAGAACTATTACCGTGTTTTGACGGGCAGAGATGAACTAGTTTATGAGCCGAAAATGTCACCTCTATTTAATCAGCGGCGTCGAAACTCAGAAAGACAAGTACAGAAGGATTCACGCCACCTTAGCCGCCATATAGGCTGTGTGAAGTCGCTGCTTTTGAGCATCTTCTACATGCAGGTCACAGCATTAAAATGCTACGAGAAGGTACTGAGCAAATGTATGTCACGTAGACCACATCCTCGACCTGTATGTTTCGCAACAACATGGCCAAGTATTTCGAATTTTCCATCCCTCAACCGACAGTTAATAATTATAAGCATAAATTGGTCATAAAGTTTGAGGAGGTGGACTTTGAAAAGTATGAGGACCCAATAGGTATTTACATTGCTAATGAATTAACTAGATTTAAAACAGTGATTATTAGCTTGGCAAATATGTTGGTAGTATTACACTTAGCCGCGGTTAATGTATGGTTCATGGGAGTAGTCTTTCAGAGATAATGAACTCTGGTCAATTGGTCATAATATTTGATCCTTAAGAATTTGGCGCAGTTATTCCCAAGCTCTCTATGTTGATCCGGTCAACGCAGTGTCACTAGACGAATCCGCAAACTTTGTCAAAACTTCACTAAGAAACAACGTCGCCGCTGAGGTTGGACTTTCCTTTTGGAAGTCGGTTACAGATTGATATTGTATTTTCGTTTTTATTGCCTTAGTTCTGCTAAGATGCCGTAATTGTCTGGTATTAAGGTGCTCGGTACAAGAAACACTTAGCGGGGACGACAAGTGGACCGTGGTGGTCGTAAGTATAAAACCATCTGCACGTTCACAATACGCAAGGAAAGCGTCCCACCTTTATCCCAGTATGTGACCTTTATAATAGAAGTAACAGCAAAACTCTTCCAATTCTTAAATTAAAATTAATATGTCCTCGTTTGTTCACAGATTTCGGTAAATATTTCTGGATTCCCGAAATAACTCTATTGGTTTTGATATTGGAGGGCTCCTGGCCAAGTCAACGTGAAATGTGGTCTTATTGCCGGTAAATACTCAGAATTTACAGGTTTGGTCAAAAAGAGGAATTC